CGCTTGATGAATTACATTACTTACACCTGTACGTAAAATCTACTTTTGCACCAACAAAAAAACTCTTCATTCATTAAAAATTTTTAAAATGCAACACAGCTAAAATGTTATCATATTTCCAACTCATTAGCGTACACGTAGCAATAACTATGCGTGTAATTAATATTACAGAGTTAATCAACTTAAACGAATTACGCTTTTACAAGCTCCTGACATCCTACAAAGAAGTGTTAAGACGCTATAGTCCTGCTGAGAAAGTCACATCCGTCGCTCTCAGCGTTGTCTCGCCGCCTTCGCAGCGCAAACCGCAAACCGTTTCTGCTTTACCACCTAATAACGTTGCGTAGGCTCGCCTCGAAAATTTTCTCACAGGCAAACTCCCAGAGGTCCCCAAAGGATAAAGACTCAGCGCGTATTTGATATTCAGTTGTTCATTTGTTGTTTACCTCAAGCCGCCCGACGCTCACGCAATCCCTACTTGTTAATCCACCCGCACTTACTATATCGCGTCAACCTCGCGGCGTGGGTTGGGTTTAATTTCTATATCATCTGCATTCGACAACAAAGATTCATCTATTTAATTTCAGCCAAGTTTGTAGTAAATTATAATGGATTTTTTGTGCGGGTGCTTGTTGTGCGCTTGGAAAGGATTTTTTTCCTTCATCGACGACAGGCGAGGCTATCGGGTGGGATCAACAGAAAAGTGCTGACGGCGACCGGGTCGTTCGATGGTTTAAGCTTGCGGAAAATCCCGTTTGCGATGTTTTAAACCTTCGTAAATGATTATCCTGCGGGGGTTTTCGTCAACGCGGGCGTGGGAAGCCCGCTGGAGGAAAACAAGTAGACGAGAGGACAGGAGGACGCGCGTGTACTACGAACGTAGTAACCGTAGGCTTGAAAAACAATCAACCCGACGCGGGGTGATAAGTGCTCTGCATTTGAAAACAATTGCGTACATACCATTACACACACTTTGCACGATTCACGTGCCGATTTCACGGAACGTTTACGCGATGTTTTGTCCGCATTTGTTTTGCTTTCATTTTGTTCGTTTCCTGTTTGAATGCTATTCTCGAAGGTGCGGAAATTTGTTGGCCCACTTTTATTGAAATTGATTTTTTAATCAACCGACTTGTTTTGTTTGAATCAAATTATTATTTTGACAATAAAATGTATTTTATCTTCGCTAGAAAACAGTATGAATTAAATATTAAAAATTCGAAAATTGCAAAAGTTTAGGACCCAATTCAATTCTATGTGAATGTAAATAATCTAGAGAAAGGAAGATTACAAAGAGTAAAATCGTGAAAGTGAACGCGCAGGACGAATATGCACAACGCTTTGCCGCTTTTTTTTCTGGGCAAAAAGTCGACAGGAAACTAAATAAAAAGCTGGGGCAACGAGAGCTAAAAGAATCGTATAACAACGGCCGAAATAAGCGCCTATACCGCGCCCTGGCTGGCGGGCAAAGTCGCCGGAAATGAGTCCGTAACGTGTGGCGAAAAGTTAGCAGAAGGCGTCAGCCGGCGGGGTCAACCACGCAAAACGCTTTTGCAAGCTTTCAACCGGCGTTCGTTTTAGATTTTTTTGGAGCATTCGTTTGCGTTTCATGCACTACACGCCACTTTCGCAATCAAACACGACTTGTATGACGTGTGCAACAACCTTGCTACCTTGACCCTCACAACTTGATGTTCAAGACTCTGATACAATCGGTCTGCTAAAGAAGGTAGAACTAAGCAAGCAGTGACTTTGAAAAATTAGTTCATTCCAAAGCACAGCACATGCACATGCAGCATTGATTGTAGAATTTAGAATGCAACGAAGCTTTCCTGAAACACCAGCAGCGTACAAATTGATTGTATTAAACCAGATATCTAACCTAACCCTTTACCAAACAAATCGGAATAATCTGTGTCGGAGCATTCCGACTAATAGTATACAAAACCTCATGCAGAAGTTGTAGACACAAGCTTGTTATATTAATCGGGAAGATCTTTAGTTTACTAAAGATTAAAACGTTTTGCTTGTTTCTATAGTAATAAACCCCATAGCAAATGAATTTCGAAGGTTACTAGTAGAGTTTGCAACTACTCTTACTTCGTCTGGGTTTGTAAGTGTAATGTATTAACCCTGAATATTCATTAGGTGACAATGTGAACCCACAAGTGGTTTTGTGAATGCGTCCAGGTTTACATTTCTTGACCGTCAGGAGCTTTTAGTCCCATCGAAAAGTATCCATCTTCTAGCAAAATTGTTATAAAATTGTGATATATGGTCATGCAAGTTACTTAGATCATTGTTCAGAAATTACAGCAATTTGGTTTGGAAAATATACGATTATAGCTGTTTTCATCGCGCAAATGAACATTTTGTCTCTTTGGACACATCAATGTTATTTATTCTTTTACTACTGGTCATACAGTATCAGTAAAAACATTAATATTGTTAAATGTAATTTTAAAAATGCTGCTTGAAGTTAATATATGATATTTTAGCATGTAACTATTTTTAAGTGGTAATAAATTTGGAAAACGTCAAAAGTTGCGTTTGGTACTTGGCCTAGTTGAGAACTTCTCTAACACTTTGTATATGTGACTCTTTTTCAACTTTATCGGTTTGTTGCTGCTGCGTGGCCTACGACTTCAGGGCGTCGATGCTATGAGAAGCCATAAATCTATACCTCCTTGTGTAAGTCATTTATCTTTGCGGGCGACCGTATTCCTTATTTTTGCGCCGGCTGGGCGCGCAGGACTGGGCGCCGAGGCCTGGGAAGAGACCAAGTTAAACGCGAGCCATTTGCCCGCACCACCGCCAGCTCTCTTCCTGCGCTCTGGGTCCATTCAATCGGTCGTATCTTCGCCGCGTATTTCCTACCCACGCTTTGCCTAGTAGTTCAACGTCGAGCGGCCCCCAGGAAAAGACAGAAGTGTTTTTGGCAGTTTTCTATGACAGTCAGTGGACCGCTTGGACGGCGCCATCTCCATCTGCACCAAGCTCTCCATGGGCACTTTGATATATGAAGGTTGGCCCTAATCATTTTAACCCGCTCGGCTAACAACCCACTTCTTGTCGTACGCGGAAATTGAAGGCAATTAAATGAAGCATAATAATAGATTTTTATTGATAAAACCCCGTATAAAATTAATTGTTGTTTATCGAAATTCAACTTGCGCAAACAGTACGAAATTAATTTTTTCGATTATGGGCTTGTCATGAGTATGTCACACGTGTTTACAAGCGTGGTGTAATAATTAAATTGTCAAGGCGTGTAAACAAAATGTGTGCTACTATGCACGACGCTGCATGATCTCTATTTACATAAACAAATCAGCAAATTTTTACATACAGATTGATTCAGCAGTGTGCTGCGTAGTACGAGTTTCTTAAAGTTGAAAAATCCAATGTTCGAGGTCGAAATGGAGCAATGAGAGATGAGCTTCTTATTTGAATGCGATTTTTGACTCCGATTGGAATTAGTTTCCATATTTATCTTATTTGCTTTGGATTTGCATTTTATCGACTTTCGCAATGCGAGTCGGCCAAGTTTGAACCCAACTCCTCGGCAAATCAAAGAATTGCCCTCGGGGGCATATTCGTTTTATATATTTCAATGAATCCGTCTGGTCGTATTGCGTTTTTGCGCCCTCGTATCTTCTGCCTACGCACCGACGATTTTCAAAACATAAAATTATTATTCTCGAGTATCCGCGCGTACCGTGCAAACACGCCGAATTGTATTAATCAAATCTAAATTATTCGGCGCATAAATTGCAAAATGCTTGAAGGGAAAAAAGCATTCGCGTGACCCGCGCCCAGAGTGCTTGATCAAGATTAGTCACCACATCAGCGTTTGCAGCCGCCATTGACTCTTGACATTTAAGGTCGCGTCGCGTTTTTCATCCATCACACACCACGAGAACGAAGCCGTCCGTCGAACTTGACTTGGGGGTGGTTTGGCAAAATTAAATTTGCATGGCACACCAATATTTAATCTGCCTTATTTCTAATTCGCTTAAAATTAATTCGGAAATTTAAATTTATTAAATTTAATCATTTTTATCAATATAATTCGTAAAATAAATAGAAATACTAAATTCTTGAATTGTTCGTTAATGTTGGTGTAAATTGGATTAACTAATGTGTACGTCGGATCAAAAACTACAATTAATTAACACGACCTTAGCGCGTGGCGGAGGGCAGCAGATGAAAAACTTTTAATTAGGTGAGGACCGCCTGCTAACCGCCTGCGCGGCGTGGAGCCCGGCGTGCAATAAGCGGTAAGTGCGAGAAAATAAATTCATTTTCCAAGCATCCAGCCAAGACCAATTGCCACTTGCCGCCGGTTGACGGGTGGTATTTTATATGGTCTACGATTAATTTATTTATTAATATCATATCTCCTCACTCAGTCCGTCCAACCAATCATTAATTTCCCAAGTAAAAAAATATTATAAACTTTCATAAATTGGCAGTAATAAAATCAAAAAAAAAAAAATACGCTACTTAACTATTTACCGCATTGTTGCGTGTTTGATCAATTGCTGAAATTGCGACGTTGTATTATATTCGTAAATTGCTGTTTCTACTAGTTGGCTGCGTGACGCAATGGGAAAGTGGCCGAATGCAGAACAGCTTGAGGGGTAGAACATTAAATGGCACGGAAAATATAGTTTGCGCTTCCTTTTCGCTCATTTTTCAAATTATCCATCTTGCACGCTGACGGAACGTAAAATTTTTACGTGCTCCTGCCGACTATGTATAAACACATAACGTACGTGTTCTGTTTCACGCTTTTTTTTTGCGAGCGCGAGTGCTGACAACTGCTGTTATGAGTGTAGGCGTTGAAACACCTTAGGGAACGACACGGTACATTTATTTCATTTCCATTCTCTGTACAGAATTATATCCCACTTTAAAGAATGAATATGGTTGTCAAAACTCACAATCAGATTTATTGAAAAATATTATTTTTAAAATTTTATTTTTTTGTTACTTACAATTGAGTTGTGGTATAGGATTCTACGATGCAGCTGCCTTTTCCATGATTCTGCAAAAATAAAATGATAAAATTATTTAATGATGTTTCTATTATAAACATACACAAAAGTAGTTAAAGCATAATGCACGGCTAGCATATTTCATAATTTAGATGCACATTAACATCTGGGAGTGACATTGATTGCGTCGGTGCGTCGTCCTTTACGTCAATTCCATTACACGTCGGGTGCACACGCTGACGACGTCGAGGTAGAAAATCATGAAAGTAAAAGCATACGTGTCGAACGGTAAAGAACACCAGAAGTGCATTTGTATGAAAATTATGTCGACGCAGCTCATTTTCTTCTCTAATGAGCGTTGTGGAATGGCATAAAAAAAAACTCTCACGACTAATGAGATTTCCTACCTTTTGCAGTGTGCATATGCACGACATCAAAGTACGACATATTTCAAAGATTTGCCGCGGCAACACTTTCAGTTTTATTTCGTTGTGTTCTCGTAAAAACACACAAAAAAAAACGCTGGATGTAGCCTGAATATGGTTATAACTTATAGGGTCATATAACATCCTTTGAATAGGCTTAGGGGTCGCACTACGGTCGATGTCCGCGCGCCGAGCGCCGTTAACTTGCGAACTACTTTGGATGTTAGTTGAGCGCGACGAAGGACTCTTCGCTATCAGCGTATCTTGGATTTATTGTCCTCGGCGCATAATGCATCGATAAATCTCCGGAAATCTCGGATGTATCTAAGAAATAACGTTGGCGTCATTTCGTAGTGGCAAAGACCCCGGCATGTTAAGCTTTATTTAAAGCAGATTTTTTCTTAACGTACCTTGAGTGACCAACTCATGGCGTATTTTTTGCTACTTCTTAGTTACGCCAGTAAAAGTGTTTTATCTATTTGAAGGGGTTTTATTCTGTACGGCAAGGTGCGGCGTTTCGGAAATGCTTCTTGGCATTTTCCTTTTATCACTTTTAACTTTAAACTTTTGCCGAGGGCGTGCGGTTTGTACGGGGGCGAAAGGGCAAAGGCCAAACGAGTAATAACAATAGCTTGAACGCAACGGCGCCACAGAAATTTTGTTTTCAAAAAGCGTTCAGCAGAAAACACTTGAAAGTTATTCATGGATTATTTCAAATAAAACCAGTTCTGATACTATTTATTAAGTAATTAAAAATAGTTTTAGTAAGCATCTAGTTAAAAAAGTAAATTAATAAAGTTTGTTTTACACTATCCGGCAATACCAATTTATTAATTAAAATTAATTAACGTGAACAAGTGCACAAGAGTGTTGTTTATTTAAGTTACATTATAGGTACAGTTGAGGTAAGCGCAGCCACAAAATGTTTATCTAAAAAGAAAATAAACTCGTTCAGACCTTCATTACGAAAGGGAAAAAAATTACGAAACGTGTTGAATCGGAATATTGCGTGCGTTCCAACGTAATTTAATTGATAGGTACACCGTTAACGGCGAATCGAAACAAAACAGGGCACAATTTTACGATTGAACCAAAGCAAAATGACGCGGAGTTCGTAAAAAGCAAATTGCACACACAAAAAAAGTACAAGAAAAGAAGAAGGAAAAAGAAAAGAACGAAAAAACAAATTATGCGTTGCGGGTTATTTTGTCAAGTAATTTTGGCAATAAAACTTGTAAGAGTTTTGCGGCGTAGTAAAATTCACTCTAATCAAACATGACTTTATCGGAAAAACTTTATTAATCACAACTCAAGAAGATCTATACTTAAACTTGTTGTGATACAGAAATAGAATTCCAGGAATGACTCTATGCATTCCTTAATTATTTATATCAGTGTCGTTGTTGTGGGAATCGATGTCTGGCATTACGAACGTAAACCGTCGCCGACAAAACTAGAAACACTGCAGTTGCCGCATTGAAATTGCATTGGCGTCATTGTACACCTACACTGGCTAGCCTGTGGCGAGTTGTCGAGTGGCTGAATGAACATCGCAGCTTTCCAACACATGCAGGTATTACGAGCATTACTCTTGTATATGTAATACAATCGAGTGCATTTCGGAACACAAATGCTTTCATCTCGCGTTACAATGTTTGGCAGTATTGTTTTGCCGAAAGAATAGTACCCGCGCATAAACTAATAGTTTTATGGCGTCACCCTGGCGGCGAAAATTTTGAATATTCATTCGGGTGAATTTTCAATTCTGTGTTTTGCACCAGCGGCAAGGGATAATTAGATTACTTGTACGAGTGTATATTTTCAAATTGATGTAAATTCAGAATGTGATGGACTCACGCTATGATTGAAACACGTAATTATTACTTGTAGAGTAGAGTCAAAATGTTTTTACAGCTGGACAAAATTGCCCTTCAAACGTAATTTAATATTGTGCACTTCACATTCGAAAATTTTAAAAAATAAACTTTTTCCTCGATTGTCAAGTAGAGGATTTTGTAAAAATGGTCCGAATTTTGATTCTACATCAAATAGAATATAGACGATGCCGGCCGGGATGACAGCGAAGCTTCCACTCGTGTATCCACTCGCAATTCGACGAACCACTCAAAATCGGCCATCGCAGCAACAATCTCTCGACAATCCTGTGAATGCATGTGGACGTGCGAGCGCGCACCCTTAACGACGAGCGTTGATTGTCCCTGATGCACCTTTCATATCGACGCAAACAGCTGTCTGTCTGCTCCCAGGTAGTGTGTGCCGCCTCCACAACCTTTTAAACTTTGACACCCTGCACACGTGCTGAGCACACTTATGATTCTTCGTACATCGATAAAAAAACATACCTACACCTACATCGCATGCAAGTGACAGAAGCACGTCATGACGATAGACAGATTCGATTTTCTGCGAATCGAATTGTGATATTGGGATTTGTCACGCTCACGAGGGCTCACGAGGATGGTCGTGATCACTTTCAGGCAAACCGGAAATATTCCCTAATCTACATATCGCTTTCATCTGGACTAAAATTATTCTCAGTCTTCAGATGATATTAAATCATTCACATTCACCGAAATAAATCAAGTGTAGGAATCCCGAAAGATTCGCATATGCGAATTTAAACATAGTGTATATGAGTAAGAAAAAGTGGAAGGGTAAAGTGCGAATGGCCCGATGATGGAAACTCAGAATGGAACACATAAAAGGTCACTAATGGATTTCACCTGTATAAAGACAATTAACGTCCCTTTAATAATATCTGCGATTCGAATCGATAGGGTCGCACAGCGATTTCAAACATTCGGCCGAACGATGTCGAGCACGCTGAATGTCGATAAGCCACACACTACAAGCTTGTTAACCGCTACATCCTCTGCCCAAAGATAAATTTGCATATCTGTATAAATTTGAATACTCAATTTAAATATTCCGGAAAAAATAATGGATAACTATACTTGTACAAATAAAGTGTACAACAAATATAACACATAAAACGTATCAGTGCAAACAATATTAATAATGAATGTAGGAATAATAATCCACCTGTTGAGTTATTTTACGTTCAAAGTGAATTCAATATGCATACGGGGGCGGAACAAATCGCCCACACATTCGCCCTTTTGGAACAGTGAAACATGTAAGCGTTCAGGACTCTAGGGAATACGTAGGCGACATATTTCGGAACTCGTAAGCGGATTTAAAGCACACACTCTGCTATTTTGGTTAATTTTCAATATCATTATTTCTGCTATGATATTTTAAAAATACAAAGCTTTACTCAATTAACCTCAAAAACCTTATTTTACCGACTTATTGCACTATTTTTAATTTAATTTATAGTTCTTTTACGAACGCCTATAAATCCTTGTAGACCTCTTACATTAATTTAGAATTCTTTGAAAAGCGCAGTGTCTAGCCCTCAAATACGAAATGAACGAAGCACGTTGTAATAAAGCTCCTCTTAAACGTGGATTGGAAGCAGCTTTATCGAGCTAATCAAACGTCGAACGCGCCAGTTAACGCGAAACGCTTAACGTTTCAATTTAGCCAGAAGACTAAATGCGGAGAGAATTTAGAATGAGATTCGACGTGATGCAATGTAGAATATTCCAGTTTTATATACCTATCATATTGTTTTTATTATAATTTAAAAAATAATTCTTGTAAATTTAATTTATTTCGCAAAAGATATTTATATGGAATGCGATCCGTTTTCATCAACCACATTAACAAGAATGCAAAATATGTAGGTACACCTAAAATTCTGTACCCCCAAGGTGTATTTTTGCCGCAAATTAAAACGTTTTTTATGTGGCAATTAAACGATCGAACAACGCATCCCTCGAGCTCTTTTATGTTTCCAGGGATTTTAAGGCTCAATAAAAAAAAAAAACGCAATGCGTTCCAGTGAAGCTTTATGTTATTCACAATCGATTTAGAAAACACTTCAAACATTGAAAGAATGTGCTTCAGAAATAGAATATTGAAAATACCCTCAATTGACAGTTGCTTTTAGTTATCAAAATATACAGTCGGAATATATTCATTATAAATACACCTGGGTGCTTATTGATTAAATTATATCAAAAGCTCAACGCATAAAAAATGAAAATTCCATTCGCCGAGAATTGAATAAAATGGAATACTTAAAATAAGTCGACAGTATAAAATTTTCAGATGAGGTATTTCCATAACTGAAATAAATCAATGGCTTCATGTCACGAAGTCAGTTTTGAGAAACTTTATAAATTATTCTCCATTGAATATACCTATTCTTTTATGCTTGTATGTAAGTAAGAACACAAAGAATAAATAAATCATCACTGCTCTAAAAATATAATCGCAACCTGCCGCGGTTCCGATTCAAAACAAATATAGAATTATTTTCCGAATTTCGACTATAAAACGTGCTCCTTGCTTGATTTCGAACAAAACACTGAATATAAATGACTTCATTAAAACCAACTGCGATCTGGATAAATGCAATAGGCTTTTTTGATTTGTACCTTCATCACTCCCAATTTCATTTCCAATTGCTGAACGATTAAACATTTTCAATATTCATCCAGTATCCACAACCAATTTTTTTAATGAAACTGTGGCTT